TTGGTGATCATTTCCTTTATTCTCATTAATGTTTGATTCAGTGGTTATATTGTAAGGGGAAATTAGATGCTAATCACTCTTAAAGGTTTAAGGGTTAAGTAAATAAGTTACAAATAGAGAGTATAGAATAGCCAGAGGACCAACAAGAGGGTAGTTTTGAAGGCTTGAAGAACCTTATGTTCCTTGGAATGTCTGGGCTCTGTTGGAAAAAGTTCAAAGATCTACATGTAGACTCTTTGAGAATTTATAGTCAAATCAAACAATATCCCCAGATTTTTATTTCGCCTTCCTTCTTGTCACTTTTTTACTTGAAAATATATTAACATTGTAAGGATGAATTTATTTTTGGTCACTCCCAAGAATGAAAGAGTTCCTTAAGGTTTCCTTCAAACAAACAAAAATCTTCAACAACTCCACCCACTTCACAGCTGCTATTGACACACCTGCCATTGGTAAATTTATCATGTGAAGAAGTATCCTGTTTACTTCTACAATTAGCAGTTGAGTCAGTGAATGGATTAAGAAAATAGGCAACCTTTGCACTAAGTTGCAAAATGAAGAAAGGTGTAAGACAATCATTGAAATAGATACAAACTTCTAAAAAAGTTTTCTTGTTCACTTGAATTATTAACCATTAATTCAAAGAACCTGTTATCTCCAAAATTGCATCATCTTCTGACTTAATTTTTTTTCCCAAACAAAAATAGCCTTGTGAAGTTAAGGAGTAACTCTCGAGGAAAGAAATTTTTTTATGATTTTATCATGAAGAGAAAAACAGAAAACACCCAACAAAAAAAAAGGAAATCACAGCTGCAACTTGCGGGTAAATGTGCCAAATTTTGTTGTAATTTTTTTTGGAAAAAAAACCATTTAAACATGTTACACCACTGAGCCTGCACTGTGTATTACAACATCTGTTCACATAGCACAAGGGAAACTGATTTAAGCTTGACACTAAAATAACATAATCATCATTTTCATCTAATGATATTTTAATGAAACTTTTCCCTGGTTTCTTAAAAGGTTTACGACAAGAGAATGTGCAAGTAGTCACCAGCAACACCTTTGGCAGGTGTTATTTAAGTTTAGTAACGTCTTCTCAAATGGTACCCTTTTAAGCAATGTCTCAAAACTAAGATGGGATACAAATGCTCTGGTTTCAAAAATGACCAACAGAAAGCAAACATCTTGGTAAAACTAAAAATTTGATACTTCCTGCATAAAACTAAAAACAGCTACACTGTACATGGCTTGTTATTTGATAGCACATGGACAAATTTACATTTGTTGAATCGTAAATATTTCCATAACCCCAAAGAACCAAGAGGCAGAAATATGCATCCGGCTTCAGTTTTTTTAAGAAATTAGGCCGACAGAGAGCGGAAAAAAAAATATTACAGTTACCTTAATATTAAAATATTTGAAGACTTAAATGAGGAATCAGAAACAAAGGAAAAAAAATCATTCTTCTCGTGCACAAAATAGAGCAAGCTACGGGAAACATCAAAGGCTCTAAAAAATGATAACACTTCACATCATCTTTAATCAAATGGTTTTGATACTCCGCTTGATCATCTCAAACGTGCACTAGCTTGTAAAATTGCGCTGAAGGCATATGCAATAGAAAAACTAGGAAAAGTTTTCTCCTGTCTTAACTTGAGAATGTGTGGTTGTCCATCATTTTTATAAAACTTTCCACCGAATACCCATGAAAGGATTTATACCCAAACAAATAAATGCTGCTGCCTCAGCTACAATATGTATCCAGGCAACGAAGACAGACTTAAAAGAATCTCCCGAATTTTTCCTGAATAAATCTTCGGTTGAATCGAAAACAAACGAGGTTGGAAAATAAAAATCCGTATTTCAACCTTGTACAGACAACTTACAATGCGTGTTTAACACACTAGTCTTTTCTTCTCACTTCAGTGAAGAATAAGATCTAGCCAAACTGAAAGCATGGCTTATATAACGGACTACAAGCTTACCTGATACACAGACTGCTGTAAAATTTTCGGAGGTTGAGTATCCAGCCTTCAATTGTGCTATAGCAGATAGCCGGCAACCTTGCTTACAAGCAAGCGAAGGTTCTTCCTGAATACATAAGAGAGAGAAAAAAATAAGAATCCTAATTTCAACCAGACTGAGGCGAAGAAGCGTCAGCTGCTACATAAATGCTTTGTATACCAGCAAGGAGTGGCGAGATCCTCAACAGAATTCAGAAATGTACGCAAACAACTTCATAATTTATAGATTACGATTTACTACCTTTGGGTATGTATGTAACGGGTAGCTCCGCTCACAGCTTTCCTTGCACTCATCTAAGATACCCGACGATTCATCAGCGAAACTACACTGCAAGATCGAGAGCAAAACAAAGGCAAGCAAAAAGTGAAGATAGCGTGCACCAGTAGCCATCTTTGTTTGGTTCCCTGTCGATAACTCTTGGAATACAAATCACGTGACTTAAACACGAAAAACAGGTTTCATTCATCAGCGGTTTCAATCGTCCGATAATGTTATGGCGACCATACCGCTGACAAAGAGCCAAATGACCCTGGGCTCCAGATCGCGACCATTCAAACTGGTCTGCGATATTTACTATAGAAATGAAGAGAGGACATTTTCGATCCGTAGGTTAGCAACCAATATAAAGATTTTGTCGAGAAGTTACTTTAGGAAGCATTATGACGGAGGGAAAAAGAGCTTCAGCTCTCACTAGAATATCGACTGCTCTGTTTTATGGCGTTTGCTCTTTTTTGATCGTGGTAATCAACAAAACTGTTTTGACAACTTACAAGTAAGTTTATTAATTTCTTATGTAAAATGATTATTCCTGAATGAGTGCTCTGATTTAAGCTTCGAAATGTCGACACGGCTAAATTTTCCTGTTGTATTTTATAGGTTTCCATCGTTCCAGTTTCTCGGAATTGGACAGGTAACGTAGCCGCGTGTACGTGGCGCTAATAGGCCATGAATCTGGTTTCTTGTTTAATTAGAATCTGATCTGTTGTTGCTGTCGGTTTCATAAATCATTTTCTCTTGGGGCACGACCGTTTTAAGAACTTATCAATGTATACATCTAGACTGTTTGAGACATAGTGGTCTGATGCTGTTTTGACTCTGAATTTTTAATCGTGTTTGATGAACAGTAGCTTTTACTCAGATGCCCAAAACAGACCTCCTATCGCAGTAAGACTGTTTGCTATGTGTTTCAAGCAGCGCCACGTAACATGAATTATTTGGCTTTGCGATTCCTCCCCCAAAATAATAATATTTATAATGACATAAAGAGTTCTTTTGTAAATTTCAAAAATTTTAAGACGTCATAACTGTCCGTAAGAAACTTGTGAATAAGTTGTCAATAAAAACATGCTTTGTAAAAAATTATCCACTCTTCATACATGTTTCGTATGTTCTTTTCATACCAAATATAAAAGAAAATAAGGCAAATATAATAATATTTATTGTTCTGTATTTAAATCATATTGATTAATGATATTACTGCAACTGTACATTTTATGATATATATTCCTCATTCTTTAGCCCTTCACACTGATACATCAGTATGCATATTCTCCATACTGATCTTATTACATCTCTTTAGGTGCTGAAAGGAGAATTTTTTTAACAATCAAGAACCTTTTTAGTTGTTGATCATTTCCTCTATTCTCATAACTTTAATGTTTGATTCTGGGTGATACTGTGGGGAGACATTAGATGCTAGTCACTCTCAGGGGTTAAAGTACAGTATTATTTCTAATTACCTGTGGCTTTGTTTTCTTAACCCTTGAACTCCCATGAGTGACCGAGACAGAATTTCTTGTTTCGATATCCCTATAGTTTAAAGCAGAAAAGTGATGAGAATAAAGAGAAATATCAATTAGGGGATTATTAGTTGATCCAATAACAAATTCTCAGAACTAAATTCTAGGAATTGTATGGCAGTCACTTACAAGAATTACTGATGAAATCTTGTTATTGAAAGGGTCAAACTCTTCCCTCCCCCTTCCTGTAACTCCACCAAGAACAAATAAAGAATGAGTGATGAAATTGAACCAAACCATTCATGATTTGACCCTTTATGCCCTAACATCAGTATGCAAATTCTCCATACTGTTCCCTACATATTTTTTTAAGAACTGGAGTATTAGTTTAACAGTTGAAAGCTTCTTTAGTTGGTGATCATCATGACCTGTACTCTCGAGACCTTTGTGTGTGATTTGGGGGTGATTTTGTATGGAGAAGTTACATGTAGATGTTTCTCACTCTTTGGAGTTGAAGGGTTAAGTTTACCATTGATAGCCTGACCACCACATTGAGCTCTTCTAAGATCAGTGGTTGAGCATCTGAACTGGAAATACTGAGTTGGTAAATCTTACAAGCAAGTTTAATTCCCATTGGAAGCATTCAGAAAGGCCTTTCAGCCTTTTACTTCCTAGTATTACTGTCAGACTTAAAAAAGAACCCACCATCATTATTTCTTAGGAATTTCATTAATGTTGATATTGTGAATCAAAAAAAAAAAGAATCAGGGTAAAACTTCACTAACCATATAAATAAATTTTATTTTTATTTTTCATCAATAGATGTTTGCCACAGTTGTAGTCCTTTATTGCCTGAAGTTAGGTGGTGTTGTTTCATTTCCAGATTATTCATTGTCAACTTTTCAAAAAGTAAGTTGTACAGTCATTTAGGTATGTAATAATTGTTCAATGAATGTTTTCACCTCATCAGTCAATTTTTATTGAGACCAACTTATGGATTAACTTACTTGTTGACATTCACAAAATAGTGATTGAATTAACAAATAGATTCCTAGTTGCCATGCGTCTGTTCAGTAATAGATAACAGATGACGTCAAAATGTGGTAAGAACAAAAAAGTGGCATACAAGGCGCAGCCGAGTGTGTCACTGATGTTCTTACCACATTTTGATGTCCTCTGTGATGTATTACTGAACTGATGCACGGCAAAGGGTAAAACAATAGACTGCCTGAAAATACTAATGAGCTAGATTTCTTTAGCATGAGTTTTTTAAGTGCATTTTGAAAAGTTGTGTGCGTGTGCATGCTTTTTTACATGTGTTTTGGGCCAAGTACCTCTGAGCTGTACTGTAGGCAGTGTATTTTCTTTAAAAAATTATTTTGTTAGGATTAAAAAAAATGTAAATGGTGAGTTAGTTGGTCTCAATCATGAAATTTGAATTATTTTGAATTCATTGCTTTGCTTTGTTTGGGAATAATTACAAAATTGAATGACACCAATACACCTCACGCACATGGTAATCCTTATCTGGATAATTTTGAGGTTAAATTATTGTACACCATATACAAGAATGTCTAAAATTGTCATTTTCAATGTATAGGGGATTCATTTTCTTTTCTTTTTTTTTTTTTTTACCATTTACACAATATTTTCAGGTTTGGCCACTTCCATTATTTTATGTTGGCAATCTTGTTTTTGGATTAGGAAGCACTAAGAGACTCAAGTAAGTGGTTCTAGTGTTTTTTACAGTTTGTGTTATATGTGCGCTGATGGTTGTCAGGAGCCCACTTAACTGAGGAAATCAAGGAAGGAGTGAATTTTCTCAGGAGAACATGTTATTAGAATATATCAAAACTCAGTCCTTACTAACAGTTGAGGAGAAAGAACAACAAGAATCAATTAAAGGAATATTCTATCTGAGCAACACCAATTTGTAAGGACTACCCTCCCCACCCCCCTAAAAAATAAATTAAAGGTAATATGACCATTACATGTAGTTGAGGGAATTTTAGCTTTCAAATCATGGTATGGTTGTGAAAGGGTTAAAATATCATTTAAATTATGTACTTTTGTTTTCCTTTTCCTTAAACTTGCTATGTAGGTTAATTAATTAAATTGGAATTTTATCATTTAGATTATAACCATGCTATATTTTGTTTGTTTTTCAGCCTTCCCATGTTTACTGTCCTGCGAAGGTTTTCCATTTTGTTTACTATGATAGGAGAGGTGTGGCTGTTAGGGTGAGTAACAGGCTCACTTCACAGTGAAAGAACATAAAAAAAAAATGGTTGCACAAGAGGTCTTGCCTATGGGCCAGACTGAAGCCTCCCCCTGTTTCTTTGATATGAAGTAGTGAGGAATATTCCTTTTCCCATTCTGCCCTTTTTGACAGAATGACTGGTACCCATTCATGCCTGGGACTGAGAGAGAGACACCGTTAGAAGTTAAGTGTCACCCCTTAGAACACAGCACACTGCCATGAAACCTGAGACTGATTTCATGTATTTTTCCTCTGCATGAACTCCATTGTGCACTGGTCTCAAAGTCATCTTAGATACATGTATGTAGTCTAGACATTGAACACCAAATAAAAGTTCTTTTACATATGACCTAAACTGACTGTAATGATTTTTAGGTCGAAGGCAACCTTTCAAGTGCAGGCTACAGTGTTCCTTATGATTTTCGGTGCCCTTATGGCAGCAAGGTAATCAATGAAAAATTTGTGTTGCTAAAATTATGATTTGTAAAATGAAAATTTAGATGGAAAGAATGGTTAAAGTACAATAGATGTTGGACTTTTCATATTAGTAACAGCATGACTATGCTTCCGTCATATATGTTCCTGTAGATGATAACAAAAGATAAATTGCACTCCACACAGTTACATGTACCAGTAATCAACCTTTTTCCTATATGCGTCAATACATGAGAAGAATGGTTAACACATGTTCATATGTTTTTTTCAACTGATACAAGCTAGTGGCCATGAGATAGCAATTTGGAATGTGTTTTATTTGTGTATGCTGTTGTTTTTGTGATGATTATGGGGAAGTTTTAGATAACACTTGGGTATTCAGATTGCTGATGTACACACTGAGTGTTCCTCTCCTTTTTTTGTTTTGTTTTGTTTTTGTATTTTTCTCATCACTTCACATTTATATAGAATTGTATAATTTATATGCATAGAAGTAACTGACAAATTGGAAGATAGTTCAATTTTCATGTAAAAATTTACTTTTTGAAGCTGTTGGTGAAAGCCAACATTTGGCTGTTGACCAAAGTGCATGTGAAAGTAATGTAATACTTGACAATCTGTACTTGAAAAGATCACAAAGTCCTGATGTTTAATACATATTTTCTTGTTTCAGTGGTGATCTTGCATTTGATGCCACTGGTTATATATATATACTTATCAATGATGTTCTCACTGCAGCAAATGGTGAGTACAGTTACAGTCTATATTTTGTATGTGCTAGAGGGGTTTCCCAAGCTACATGTACACGAATGGCACACACCACCTACTGCTAGGGCTTGGGTTACATTCCTGCACTTGTAGGTTGTGTTTGTTGTTGTTTGTTGTCCCTTCTCTGAAGGTTTTGCTCAGGCTCCTCAAGTTTTCCTGCCTCCACTAAAACCAACTTTCAAAATTTGAGTTATGCTAGGAAACATTGGACATGAAGAGCCACCTCATGAAATGTCCACTACTAAATCCCTATTATTATTATTATTAATATTTTTAATTACTATTAGTTGAAATTAAGATCATATATGTAGATAAATTTAGTATCAGTGAAATTACTTCTAATTCTCATACACCAGGTGTTTTTGTCAAGAAAAAGTTAGAGTCAAAGGCAAGT